TGGGATCTTGGTATAAAATTTTCCTCTAAATATGTCCCAGGTTTCCAGCAATATTCGCCTTAGATAATGTCTCTTGAAATACTTATACTGTTCACCTTTCTCTCTCCATAGCAGTGCGTGCCAGCTGTGTTGTAGGTTGTGTCCTTCTAAATCTAATAAAGACCTCCTCTTCAATAACACCCAATCCTTCATCCAGGCTAGCAGTGAAGCTCGATAATATAATTCCCAGCAGGGGAGACCAAAGCCCTCCCTCTCTCTATGCTCTTGTAACATTTTGAGCTTCACCCTTGGCCTCTTCCCCTGCCAAATAAATTTCAGCACGACTCAATCCAGACCTTTAAAAAACCTTTTGTCTAGCCTCGCCGGAGCTGATTGAAATAAAAAAGCCATAGATTTGATTCAGTATTGAGAATTGTGTTGTCTTGAACCAGCTAACTATAAAAATATCAGCCAGAGGAAATAATGGTTTGCTACCTTTATAGCATTTGACACAGCAAACAAATACTATAGAAGAAATTGATTGCCATTAAAATGGAACTCGGAATACTGATCCCATTCAAAATGAGAAAAAATAATTAATGGAAGTTGTGAAACCCACATGAAGTTGTGGGTTCTCTATTAATGGAGGCTTTCAAAGAAAGACTAGACATTCGTTTTGTCTGGATTGGTGTAGGATCTCCTGCAATGAGCAGGGGGTTGGACTAGAAGACCTCCCAGGTCCCTTCCCTCCCAATTATTTTTGTTCATCTGTTTGAGAGTTGGGGCTCAATGTAGCCATGAGAAATAGGACTGATATTTACCAAAATATAAGACAAAAGTGTTGCCGATATGCAGAAGTGGGTTTCAGCAGGTTCTGACCAGTTCTGGAGAACTGGTAGTGAAAATTTTGAGTAGTTCAGAGAACCAGTAGTAAACATTCTGACTGGCTTCGTCCCCAACTATTCTCTGCCTCCCAAGTCCCAGCTGATTGGGAAGAAATGGGGATTTTGCAGTAACGTTCCCCTGGAGTGGGGAGGGAATAGAGATTTTACAGTTTAGTTTAGTTTAGTTTAGTTTTATTAAATTTATATACCGCCCTTCTCCCGAAGGACTCAGGGCGGTGTACAGCCAAGATAAAAAACCAACAGTATAAAAAGTTAAAAAACAATTTATTAAATAGTTTGGCCCATAATCTAAAATAACATAAAATAACCCATTAAAAATCATATTTTAGGCCAGCCCTCCTTGATGGAATAATAGTGTTTTAAGGGTGCAGCGAAAGGTACGAAGGTCGGGAATCCGACAAATCTCCAGGGGCAGCTCGTTCCAGAGGGTAGATGCCCCCACAGAGAAGGCTCTCCCCCTGGGGGTCACCAGTCGACACTGTTTAACCGACGGCACCCTAAGGAGACCCTCTCTGTGGGAGCGTACTGGTCAGTGGGAGGCTATCGGAGGCAGAAGGCAGTCTCGTAAGTAAGTATCCTTCCCATACCATGCCCACCAAGCCACAGTCACAGAACCAGTAGTAAAAAATTTTGAAACCCACCACGGCCGATATGACATTTGGATTGCAGATGCTATTAAGAGGACTTGGCTCCCTTTCTCATAATAATTATCTGATTATGGATAAATCAAAGTCAAAAGTTATGGTCTTTGGAAAATGACATCATTGCCATCTAGGGCTATTTGATGAGGAGCCAATAAAGCAAGTTCACACCTTTCCTTACCTGGGGTATTTTTCTCTGTGACTGGATCTTGCCTCCCTCAACATAAAAGGAGTTCACTTAGACCAAAGGCACAAGTGATTGCACTGTTGTTATTTTTAAAAAAACAAAAACAAAACATAGCTATGCAGTTTCCTTAGACTGAATTATTAAATACCAAATACCAACATTACCACTATGCACTTATATTGAGCAGAACTTTGGGATTTAATGTAAATCACTCATAGAACAAATACACTCATAGAACCAACGGGCCTGGTGGCTCAGCAGACTGATAGCATTGTGATTAACACCAGCTGTCTGCAATTACTGTAAGTTCGAATCTCACCAGGCTCAAGGTTGACTCAGCCTTCCATCCTTTCAAAGGTAGGTGAAATGAGGACCCAGTTTGTGGGGGCAATAAGCTGACTTTGTATAAAATACAAAAGTATGAAGGCTATTGCTTAACGCATTGTAAGCCGCCCTGAGTCTCTGGAGAAGGGCAGCATATAAATCAAATATATATATATATATGTAGGTCTTGGTTTATTCGGGTCTTCCCCCACGTAAAATTGGAAGTGTCTTGGCGACGTTTCGATGAAGTCTCATTCGTCATCTTCAGCCTGGTGTTCTCGGCTTCGTGCTTCCAGGAGCAATGTGAGATCGCAGCTGTCTCTTCCTTTTAACTGCTAGTGGGGGTGTGAGCTGATTGAGTGGGAACTTGGCTGTGTTCTGATTGGGTGGAGGTGTGTTCTGATTGGTTAGGGGCTTGGCTGTGCTCTGATTGGATGGGGGGTTGGTTGTGCTCTGATTGGCTGGGGGTGTGTTCTGTTTGGGTGGGGGCTTGGTTGTGCTCAGGTTAGTCTGACTTGCAGGGGGATTTGAGCTGGTGAGCTGCGTTGTTGTTGTTTGGCTTCGTGTTTGTGGCCATGCGAGCTCTTCAGGGTGGGTGTCAGTCTGCTTCATGTATGGATTGGAGGGGTTTAAAGTGGCTAATGATGCAGCTGCGGTCTGGCTTCTGGTCCTTGGTCGTGGCTCATTATCAGTGTGGGTTTGAGTCTGCTTTCTGCGTGGATGTGTGGTGGTGACATCCTGTGTGGCTCTCGTGAGTGTGGGTCTGGTGTCATTCGTCATGTTAGGGACTCGTTTGTCAATAAGGGCGGGTTTCCAAATGGCTGGTAGGCGGGAGGTATCGTCTCATTTGTTCATGTTGTGTGGGCATTTTTCTATCTCGATGGCTTCTCTGATTATTCTGTTGTTAAAGTGTTCAGTTTTGGCGATAGTTCTCGTCTTTTTAAAGTCAATATCATGTCCTGTGGCTTTAAGGTGTTGGACCAGGAAAGAAGTTGGTTCCTCTTTTCTGACTGAGTTCTTGTGTTCTTCTATGCGTGCACTTATTCGTCTGTTGGTTTGTCCGATGTATGTGGTGGGGCAGGCGGTGCATGGGATTTCATATACTCCTTCGTCGAAACGTCGCCAAGACACTTCCAATTTTACGTGGGAGAAGACCTGAATAACCAAAGACCTACATACAAACACCCGCGAAAACCTGAGAAAATATATATATATATATATATATATATATATATATATATATATATATATATATATATATATATATATATATATATATATATATATATATATATATATATATATATATATATATATATATATATATATATATATATATCTTTTTTCTTTTTTCATAGGCTTTTATGTGCATATTCTCTCTAGCCAGGTTTTACCTATGTAAACCTACCTATGTAGGTTCTGTGAAATCTCATTCACAAGTTCTTGGGCCCTTTTTCTGCTGACAAACTGCAACTCTGTGTTGCTCTCTGGGAGACTCAGATAGCTATTTCTGCCTCTTAAGGCGTCCTCGGTGAGCCACACCCACTTCCCAATTATCCTCCCTGTAAAGGCATAATGTATCTTTTTTCTTTTTTCAACCTAGGGCTGTAGAACAACTAAGTTTACATAGGTAAAACCTGGCTAGAGAGAATATGCACATAAAAGCCTATGAAAAAGGTTTGGAGAATAATTTGGATTGATAAAAAAAAAAAACTTCAGCTGCTGCCTTCATGGCAGAATTTGGAATTTATAAAACTGGGGGATATACTTATTTTTTATAAAATTAAATGGTATGGAAACTGATAAGAGTCCCAAAATGCTACTAGAACAAATAAATTTCAATTCAAACTTTCTTGAATGGTACACGTGACTATTTATATTAGGAACTGTGGTCTCTCTGTCTTTTTTACACCTGGAGAAAAAGCTTTTAAAAATGCTGTTCCGTTGAGATTTCCATATGAAGTTTGATTGTGGTAAATTCTCGGGGTGAAAAAGAAATATATATTATTATTATAAACAAATATATATTATTATAAAAATAAAATAAATAAATAAAATTATTATTATTATTAAATGCTATTTTCATCCTTTATGCTTATTCTATTGAACATTTTTTAAAAATCTACTTTTGCATGCAGTCTTATTATTGTCCTACCTGTTATATTCTGTATCTTGATATGGCCTAATGACTAATGAAGAAGAAATTGTTCTAATATGTACCAGAGCAAAACGTTGGATTCCTTTAAAGCTAAAAATTGGGACTTGGTAGGACCCCAAATATAACAGCGCACTCTTTGTTGATTTTTTCAGGTCAGTGACAGAATTGCTTCAGAGGCTGTTAGTGATAAAAGTCAATTCCCTTTTTTCCATCCGCTGCTACCCACAGAGGGCTTCTACTACCCATCCATTGTCAAACTGCTCCTCCATTTTAGATGGACCCTGATTGGTCTTTTTAGTTCAGACACAGAGAAGGGAGAGAATTTCATAAGGACTTTTACCCCTATGCTTGTCAGGAATAGAATTTGTGTTGTTATAACACAACAATTCTCAGCGACTGGGCACACAGCACCCCTCAGGAATGCCCTCTCTAAGTGGAAACAAGTCAATGTCTTTGTTCACTTCATAGAATATGATTCCATTTGGGACAGAATTCTTCCCTTCCATTCAACACTTGAAGATTTGCCAGGACCCATTGAAGGGAAAGTCTGGATCATGACAGCAGTTGGACAATATTTCATCAAAAAAGACAGGCTTCTCAAGTACATCCATAGTATTTGGAACTTTTCTTTTCAGTGGAAAAAAAGTTGGCAAAAAGATGATGCCTATAAACATCCTTTCTTTGTGGAACGTGAATTTCAAGTTGAGTATTTTCACTGTTCTGTTTCAAAACACATATTTTCTATCAAAGACCGGAGAAGATGCACCCAGAAAGCACCACTGGAGATGCAAGAAGAAAAGATTAGGATGTGGATCCCAAATGACGGCTATACTTACAGTGTCCTTAAGATTCTGGCCCATGCCTTAAAAGCTGCATCCAAACCCCAGAGGAGAAGGGAGAAGGGAGAAGAGAGGCTGGGGGCTCCAAGGCTGCAACCGTGGAAGGTATGGGGTCCCATCAAGGAGCCATCAAACTAAATTCCTTTTCAGGGTCTTTGGGGCTCTCTGAGCTTGTTTGTTTAAGATCTTAAGCTTCTATACAACATCTCGTACTTATTGGAGGAGCACTGCATCCTCTCTTCTGCAACCAAGATGTTTTATATCTTTGAAAAAAATGTTCTCAGAAGATTCCTTCTGTTTTTAAGCCCCTGAAAGACAAACTGGTTCTTCTCCAGTTTGTCTTTCCTCAAGTCTAAAAGCAGCTCCTTTGATCTCTTCGTTGTCTTCTTTGTTCTTGACTAAAGTTGATGAATATTTTGTGCAATGTCTTCTCCAAGTGTGTTTCCTAGAAGAGGACCTGGTATGATTCAACTGCAACATTAATGGGTCTAGGAATTTTCAGCTTGAACCCTTCACCTTACCTGTTTCACCTCGAGGTTTTCACCACTCTGTTACTGAAGTCATATTTTTCTGCAATCGAGTTTGGAGCGGTTTACCTTGAGTTTGTATCTCTGCCTAATTGAATGATTTTAAATTGGTTTTTAACTTTTGGTTTTAAAATTCAGCCAAAACTATTTAATGATTTTAATTAATTTTAACTATGATATTGTATATTTATGTTTTTAATTTTGGCTGTACACTGCCCCGAGTCCTTCAGGAGGGCGGTATATAAATAAAATAAATAATAATAAAATAATAATAATATATTATTTGCTCATGTATTGTTGTGATTGAAGCTGAAGTAGTCATTGACAGGTAGGACATTGTGGCAGATAATTTTATGTACTATGCTTAGGTCAGACTGAAGTTGGTGTAGTTCTAAGTTGTCTAAACCCAAAATTTGGAGTCTGGTGGAATAAGGTATTTTATTGAGGTTAGAGGAATTCTCATAAAGTATCTCTGGACTCTCTCAATCATATTTATGTCCGATATGCAGTGTGGGTTCCAGACAGATGAGCTGTATTCGAAAATTGGTCTAGCAAATGTTTTGTATGCTCTAGTTAGTAGTACAATAGTACCAGAGAAGAAGCTATGCAAGATTAGGTTAACAACCCTTAATGCCTTTTTGGCAATGTTGTTACAGTGAGCTCGGGCACTTAGATCTTTAGAAATGAGAACTCCAAGGTTCTTGAAAGAGTGGGGGTCATCTACAAGGTCATGTCCATCTAATTTGTATTTTTTGTTTTGATTTTTTTTGGAGGACAAGAGACAGAGATGCAGGCAAGGCTCACATAAGATGGTTTAGTGCGGTGGGTGGGGGTGGGGACTTGCAGCTGCATAACAGGCAGAGAAAGAAACTCCCTAATTTAGTGAAAAAATTAGTTTTTAGATTTTGTTAATATAATCTTACAATAAAACAGAATTAGTTCATCTGGTCATTCATCCTGTCTGGTCTACCTGAATTAAGATTAGCCTTACAACTTTCTTCTTAACCAATCCTTGCTTTCTGTTGTTTTCAAGGAGTTTGTGAATACTCTAGTTATTTGGGTATTTTGATTATTTGATTTGTGACCTTGTGATTTGTGTCCTATAAATTTGACAATTTTTGTCAATATACATTCTGTCACTCTACTGCATGATTGAGAACTATGGCTGAATCTTTGTACTTGAGTTTTGAAGACAGTGGTAACACTTGTTCTCTCAACTCACAATATTTGCAAGTTAAAAAACCAGAGAAAAAAAGATTCAAATGTAAAAAGACCATGTGAGATAAACCCCCCAAGATTTCTGCTTTTAAAATTCCTGAATGTTTTCATTCTAGCTCCATCCTTTTCTGGAGAAGAGTGAATTGTTCAATGTTTCCCTTCTGGAAGTGTACATGGATCAAAATGGAGTCATAGGAGCAGATATGTGGATTATTAGTAAGGTGATTCTCCCCAAGGAGGATGTCATCGACAAATTGTTGGGGATTTTTGAAAGACAGATTCTTTCAATCAACAAAAAGGCTTTGTCACAGCTAAAGTTGCTCAACAAGGTGTGGAAAATAATAACGTCTTTCCTTCCTCCCCCCCAAAAAGACCCATTTCAAGTGAAACCCAGAGACTATTTGGCTAATATTCATGTCTACCTCAATCTTACAAGGATGATGAGCCCTAACGTAGTTTCTTTGGCATTTCTTCTTTTTCTGCTTAGTCTTTCCCTCAGTCCAAATGTGTGGAAAAATGCCAACCTGGATTTGTCAAGAAGGCTCAAGAAGGAGAGCCAGTTTGCTGCTATGATTGTGTTCCTTGTCCAGAGGGGACCATCTCCACTCAGGAAGGTGGGTGACACCATAGGGAAACTCTGCTCAATATGCAAGTTAAAGACACATGTAAGTTTGATTGTCTAGTTTTTAATTTTAATGGTGTCCCATTTCTTCCATAATGGGAGGATGAAATTGGGTAAGAAATCTCTCTTTTATTGGCCAGTTTGGATGTGTTCTTCCATGTTTATGTTTCTTACTAGCATCTGAATTCTTTATAACTTGAGGAATGATTTTAGATCAATGGGTTTTGCTTATGCAAACCAACTTTACATTACAGACCAAAAGACATACCAATCAATCCTTCAATTAATCAGTCAATCTTTATGAAGATATTAAATCTTTATAAGCTGAACTATCTAATTGGAAGAAACAATGGAGGGAAAGAAGTTGGGTTGAAGGAACAAATGAAAACCAAACAGGATTCACCATAAAACCAAGTAGATATTTCCTTCTCTTCTCTTCTCTTCTCTTTTCCTTTTCTTATCTTTCCAATTTTCTTTGTTCTTAAATAGTAAGATACAAACAGTTATGACACCAACCCAAAAAGATTATAGTCATGATTCTGAAAGGAAAAAAAAGTTTAACATACAATATTGGAGTTAAAAGGAAGAGAAAAGAGAGGGGAAAGGATAACTAATAAAAGACCAATCTACTTAATATCCTTTTATACCAATGTTGAATTCATTCTTTCTTTAAAATTGTTGACATATCTAGAGCGTATGGAAATATATTGCTTCATATTCTCATTTCTACAGGGTAAAAAGACTTTGCAGATAACAGACTCAGTTCATGTTCTTGAAGTCCTTCACAATTTTTTTTTAATTTGATTTATATGTGGCCCTTCTCCGGAGACTCAGGGTGGCTTACAATGCGTTAATTAGGAATTAACTAATTAAATTAATTAATTAAATGCGTTAAAAGGAATTAATCTTCCTTAAGATCTTTTGGTTTTCAAATTTATTTATCGAATTTATATGTCTCACTATTTATATGGCTGTCTTGTTGGCATAAAATTAAACCGATAATTAAAAGTAAAAACAATGAGATGTAAATGCTAAGAAAGCAAGAGAGGAATACAAGATGCTACCTACTATGCAACTAGCACACACAGGGCCCTGTAATCAGGGCATCGCCAGGACTGTTGAAAAAAAATCACATTTAAGGAGTTTCTAGAAGGTTTCATAGTTTGGAAACACTGTCAAAGTCAGTGATTTACTTATTTATTTATTGTGAAGGGGGCTGTACAACATATCCTGAAATAGGCACTTTTGCAGACTTCCCAAGTGGTTCTTCATGGATTCAACCATGTCATACAAATTTTATCATGTGTCCAGTATTTTTGGAGCAATTTATTGAGAGCATGGTTGGTGGCATCAATACCTGCGTTTAACCATTTTTGGGATAAACATATGTCCATCATCTGAAAAAAAGAAAGAAATAAAATATTAAATAAATAAGATAAAACAAAAAAAAACCTCAAAGGGCAGACTCGATGGAACACTAGGTCTTTTTCTGCTGTAAGTTTTCTGTTTCTATCTTTTTATCCCATACTCAATTTGCTGCTCTTGAAAACCATATGGAATTTACAAGTGGTGCAGAATGCAAAGGCATGCACAGCGTTGTGTTTCCATGTGTTGTTCCATAGGAAGTCTATTATGCAGACTCCACAGAATCCCAGTTTCTTCCCAAGTACAATTAAACTCATCTCTAAAACCCACCATGAGACAGAACAGGTGTCAGCGTCTCAGCGCTGACATAGAAAAGGGAGGATGAAGCTTGAACTTTTGCCTGCTAAATCCCTTTGAAGATTCGGTCTCCTTGGAGATGAGGAGGGGGGAAACATTCCAGTGAACTGACGGGAAAAGGAATCAGGAGAGTGACTTGGAAGATAGCCAATGAGAAGCAGAGAATTGGGGATCAGAAAGGGAGGGATTGGGGGGCAAAGGTCAGTATTGACCACGAAGAGCCAGGATCCGGTTACTGTACTCGAATAAAGAGAAAATTTCCTTAAAGATTGACAGTTTGGAAGTTCATTTATTTTGAGATAGCATCGAAGCCTGACAACAGGGGTATCTGCAGGGCTTCCTCTCCTTGAAGATATCTGCTTGACCCAGGGGTGGGTTCTACTCACCTTTACTACCGGTTCACAACAGGGCTGTGCGCGTGCTCTTCTGCACATGCGCAGAAGCGTTTTGCTGACATCAGGGTCAGTGGGTGGAGCCTCCCGCCAGTTTTATTACCGGTTCTATAGAACCGGTGCGAACCGGGGGCAACCCACCACTGGCTTGGCCCCAACAGAGAAGATATAATTGGAAACAAAAGGTCTGTTCCCTAAAAGAGTCCAACTTTATGGGTCCTCAGATGCCTGCTTAGTCTGGTGCAGCTCCTGCCCCATTGCACCCACCTCCCCTTGAAATCCAATAGGCCCCCATCCATTTAAACCTCTGGGGACTTGCTACTTCTCCCAACCATTGGAATAAGGTAAAGGTAAACCATTTGGGATAACATAAGGTCAGTGCAAGATAAAAATCTAGTAGTTTACCTCAGAGAAGGGAGCTTGTGGCACTAGATATTCTTCCTTTCATTTTATTTTGTTGTTGTTGTTGTTTTTATGGTTGTATGTATTGGTGTTTGTTTGTTTGTTTGTTTGTTTGTTTGTTTGTTTGTTTGTTTGTTTGTTTGTTTGTTTGTTTGCTGGAGTGTAAGTATATTCCATTTACTGAGACTTCCCTGTCTTTCGGTATCACCTCTTCCAAAGCCTTTCTGGAAATTTGAAAGACTGTAAGAAATATTACTTTGTTTATGAAAATACATTAAATATCATTTCTATTTACATTGGATGTGCAGTGTTTATACATATATACAAGCTATATACCTGGTGTTTCTTAAGCTACTTATTCCTTTTATTAGGCACACCTTTTTCTCCTTCTTTTATTTTATCATTCATCCATTCATACCACCTTCCCCAAACAGTATAGTAATCTGAATTTTCATCCTCATTTATTTCATGGGTTAGCTTGCTCATCACTGCGCACTCCAATACTTTCCTAATTATGTGTTCTTCTGTTGGCAGATCTTTCTCTTTCCAGTGTTGTGCATATGCCAGTCTAGCAGCTGTAGTGATATTAGGTAGATCTTTTTCTTTCCATAATTCCTCTTTACTATTCCCAGGAGAATATTACAGGTGTCAATTCAATATCTTCAAACTTAATACAATATTGGAAAAAAAGAAAAGAAATATTACTTTGTTTTCGCAGATACTGATAAATGCACCAGGTGCCCAGATGATCAATATCCAACCAAGAACCGAGTCCAATGTATCCCAAAAAGAATAATCTTCCTCTCCTATGAAGAATATCTCAGTATCATCCTCATCTCCTTTGCCCTACTCTTGTTCCTAACCACAGGCCTTGTTTTAATCATATTCCTTAAATTCCTAGAAACTCCCATTGTCAAAGCCAACAACCGGGACCTCTCCTATATACTCCTGGTCACCCTCCTGCTTTGTTTTTTGTCCTCCTTTCTCTTCATTGGACAGCCAAGGAAAGCCACCTGTCTTCTCCGACAAACGGTGTTCAGCATAGTCTTCTCAGTAGCCGTGTCTTCTGTGTTGGCCAAAACTATCACAGTGGTACTGGCATTCTTGGCCACAAAACCAGGGAACAGAGTGAGGAGATGGTTGGGGAAGAGCTTGGCCAACTCCATCATTCTTTTTTGTTCTGCTGTCCAGATGTTCATCTGTGCTATGTGGCTGGGAGTTTCTCCCCCATTCCCTGACTCTGACATGCACTCCCAGCCTGGAGAGATCATCCTTCAGTGCAATGAAGGCTCGGTCACCATGTTTTATGTTGTCCTCAGTTACATGGGCTTCCTTGCTGCTATTTGCTTCATAGTGGCTTTCCTGGCCAGGAACCTGCCTGGGGCCTTCAATGAAGCCAAGCTGATCACCTTCAGCATGCTGGTCTTCTGCAGTGTCTGGATCTCCTTCCTGCCCACCTACCTGAGCACTAAAGGAAAATCTATGGTTGCCGTACAGGTCTTCTCCATTTTGGCCTCCAGTGCTGGACTGTTGAGCTGCATCTTCTTCCCCAAGTGCTACATTATCATCCTGAGACCAGATCTAAACACTAAGGAACATCTAATGATAAAAGCAAAGGAATGACTGTTAAATTGTTTCTTAGCCTCATAACTGTTAGTTATCCATTATTATTGGGTTTTTATGCTTCCTTTGCATTTATTTGACAACTTATGTTTATTAAAACTGAAGGAAATAAATATGTGAGGTTGGTTTATGAAATGAAAATTCAAGATAATCATCAAATAAATTAACACATACATACATACATACATACATACATACATACATACATACATACATACAGATTATGTTTTTTAAACTGTTGGTAGTCCTACTTTTCCTCAACACGCATGTCAACCAATATTTTGCTTAAGCAACTCTTCAAGAGAAGAGACATATGAGTCATCTCCTGGCCTTTATAGTGCTGTAAACGTGGCAGGTATCTTCAAAGTTAATTAGTGAGAGCTCAATCTCATCTCTTTCATACTTCTTTATGAATTGGTATTTCCATTCCTTCAAGTTATGAGTTCTACTAGGCAGAAGAGAGTTAGTGAAGATGACTTGGTGTTTGTTGCCACCTCAACATCTTTCACTGGTGTTGGTGCTCCTTCTCTTTCTCCTGGTGTGCTCTTTCTCAGCAATCTCCATTCATGTAAACTCCAGATAAAGTACTATCTTCTTCATGGCTTACTCTCTCATAGCCTCCAGTTCCAGCTTCTTTGGGCTGAGGTGCTGAACAGACTTTCTGACTTCTAGTGAGGAATTTCCAATAGAAGACATTTATTTATAGCCTGTGACTTCCTGGCAGGTTCGGCATATTGGTATTCAAGTCAATCTGACTGAAGAGGACTGAAGATAAAATTCATCCTAGTCTCATTTGGGGAGTCAGTAGCTTCGCCAAGCTGAGGCAGGTACAAGATGGCCATGGGTCAACTCCCGGATTTAATTGAAAATCAACTTTACTAAAAGTGTTGAAAGAAGATAAGGTTTGACAAAGGGAGCATGGTTAAAAAAGATTTTTAAAAAACCCAAAACCTAACACAATTAGGTTAAACATATTGCCAAAAAGGCATTAAGGGTTGTTCATCTAATCTATGCGTAGCTTCTTCTCTGATAATATTACACTAATAACTAGAGCATACAAAACATTTGCTAGACCAATTCTCAAATACAGCTCATCAGTCTGGAACCCGCACTGCATATCACACATTAATACAATTGAACGTGTCCAGAAATATTTTACAAGAAGAGAACTCCACTCCTCTGCTCGCAACAAAATACCTTATGCCACCAGACTTTAAATTTTAAGCTTAGAAAATTTAGAACTACGCCACCTTCGGTATGACCTAAGCATAGCTCATAAAATCATTTGCTATAATGTCCTATTGTTAATGACTATTTCAGCTTCAATCACAACAATACACGAGCACACAATAGATACAAACTTAAAGTGAACCGCTCCAAACTCGATTGCAGAAAATATGACTTCAGTAACAGAGTTGTTAATGCCTGAAATGCACTACCTGACTCTGTGGTTTCATCTCAAAACCCCCAAAATTTTAACCTAAAACTGTCTACTGTTGACCTCACCCCATTCCTAAGAGGTCTGTAAGGGGCGTGCATAAGAGCACCAGCGTGCCTGCCGTCCCTGTCCTGTTATTTGTAGTCATTTTATGTATTCAATTCATGCTTATACATACATACATACATACATACATACATACATACATACATACGTATATGTATATATATATATATATATATATATATATATATATATATATATATATATATATATATATATATATATATATATATATATAATACGTATTCAACAAATAAATAAATAAATAAAATATAAATATAAATAAATAAACAATTCTAGCCACAGTGAAACAACTCAGTTTTCATCTTTCCCAGCTTCAACCCCTTATTCAGTATTTCAAAGTCTCTCAAAAGATCCGCAAAGTCTTTCCACCTTGTTTTCCATTATTGGCTTTCTAGTAAGTTGACTCTTATGGAGCCCATAAGGCTGGCTAGATCTTTAAAAGATCAGCTTCTCCTCACTACCCCACTCCTTGCCTGGACCCATATCCCTTTCTTCTCTCTCTCTCAATTCTCAATCCTCCCAGCTATATTTTCACCCATATCATCTGCAAGCATCACATTTTTGCCCATCAGTCACTGCCTTAGAACTGGAATCCCAAATGTCTACATTTTATATAGTTAAAAGGAAAATTTCCCCACAAATTCATTTTAGAAGCAAATCTGTGTCTTCAGTCCAAAATGAACCTAAACCTCCACATGTTTCAACAAAAAAGCTCATGTGCTTTTAGATTTATTTATATATTTCAATGTAGATGTTGCCCATGTCCCAAAGACTCTTCAGGCTTCACAGATTCCAACATTAGCCACAAGAAAAGTGGAGTAAGAGATTATAAAAAAAAAATAGCAAGGATAACAAAAACCACGATAGGAATGAAAAATGAACCCACATAATCCAGGGAAGATCATCAGTCACTTTGTCAACCTCTAAAGTGGGGTGGGGGGCTTGGGATAATTCAGGGAAGAGCCCCCTACAAAGGAGATGGGTGGTTAAGAATTTTGATAAATATAAATTAATAAATTATAAGCCATCCAAACTCACATGCGTGGGGTGTCCATATGAACTCTCTTATTCCGACAAGCCAGGCTGGCTTAATAGGAATTTTAAATTGGGTGTCTGTTAGCTTTTAATTTTGTGGGCCAAATTTATATATTTGTTTTTAAATTTTGTAAGTGTATATGTGTTTTAAGATGGCTGTACACTGCCCTGAGTCCTTTGGGAGAAGGGCGGTATAGAAGTGTAATAAAATCTAAATCTAAAATCTAAAATGCTTTTTGCGCATCGAGGAATATCAAAGCTGCTTCTTTCTCTGGATGTGTTTTGTAATATTCTAATGTATTCATTATCGTTCTTATATTATTTTTTATGTGTCTGGTGGGTAAAAATCCATTCTGATCTGGTTGTATGATTTCATTTAATATCTGTTTCATCCTTTCTGCCATTATTGTCACAAATATCTTATAGTCAGCATTCAGCAGCAAGACTGGCCTATATTTTTGGATTTTTTTCCCCTTTCCACGTTATTTTTGGGAATTAAGGTTATCAGTGCCTCCATCCAAGAGTTTGGTACCATTGCTCGCTCTAGTACTTCATTGTATGTTTGTAATAGTAAATTCTCCAGTGGTTTTTGTAATTCTTTGTAAAATTTCACTGGAATTCCATCTGGACCCGGTGTTTTATATTTTTTTTGTTTGTTTTTGAATTGATCTTTATAATTCTAACATCGTTATTTTTCTATCTAATGTTTCTTTTGTGGTTTCTGGTAAGGTTGGGAGGTTTCTCTGCTGTAGATATCTTTTAATGTTATCCTCCTCTATGTTCTCCTGACTATGTAAATGTTGGTAGTATCTTACTGCTATATTTTCTTTTTCTTCCTTCTGATGGTGTGCTATCTCTTTTTCATCTTCTAGTTGTTGTATTACTTTTCTTTTTCTATTTTTAATTTATAGGCCAACTATCTCCCCGGTTTGTTTGCATTTTCAAAATAGTTTTGTTTGGTTGCTCTAATTTTTTGCGCGATTTGTTCTTGTGTGATTAAGTCTATGTTTAATTATCTCTTTTTTGTCTCTAATTTCCTGGTTGTGGGGTTATTTCTGCATTTTGTCTTCTAATTTTCCCAATTTCTCTTGTAATTACAAGAGAAATATATATATTGTTTATTTTTGTTTTTATTTCTTCGTATAGTGTATGTGATTGTAAGGCCCCGGGTGTAAGCTTTAGTTGTGTCCCACAGGTTTTGAATAGTTGTCTGTTTATTCCAATTTTCCTGTAGGAAAAATACTAATTCTTTTTCTATGTATTGAACATAATTTTTTTCTTTCATTATCCTTCGATTCATGGTCCATCTCTTTTTTCTTTTTTCTTCCCCTTTCCTTTTAACTATTAACAAATTATGATCTGCCCAAGTATTTGGTTTTATTTCTATTTCCTCTACATTTTTTCCTGTTTCTGGATCCATCCAGACCATGTCTATCCAGGACCATGAGCTGTGTGGGTTGGAAAAATATGTATATTGATTTTTTTTTGTGGGTTAATTTCTCTCCAAATATCTTTTAAACTTAGCTCTCAAGTCATTTCAAAGAAAGTCTTTGGTAATGTTCTCCTTTCATAATTCTTTTTACTTCCTGTTTTTTAGTCTTTTTTTGGATCAACCACCATGTTGAAATCTCCTAATAAGCATACATTATCTATTTCCAATTCTACAATTTGTTTATGTAATTTGCTATAATATTCTTTCTGTTGAGTGTTTGGTGCATATATGACTGCAATTAATATTCTTTTGTGTCTTATTAATACCTCAATCAATAATGTTCTTTCCTCTTTGTCCGCATGTATTTGTTTGGGTTTTAACCAGTCTTTTATATAAACTGCAATTCCTCTTTTTCTTACTTCAGATAGGGCCAGAAATAATTTACCTGATTTGGGGGCTTCCAGAAGATTAACTTCCCCTTTTTTCATATGGACCTCCTGTAAACATATAACGTCTGTGTTTTGTTTTTGGAGTTTAGCAATTACTCGTCTTCTTTTTATCGGTGAATTTAATCCATTTATGTTGACAGAAAGTAATGTCATTTCTTCCTCCATTCCACAACTTATTTGTCACCCTTACTTCTTTGTTTCGTTTCCTTTTGTTTTCTTGTTCTCATTCCTTCTCTTTCCTGAGTCTCAATATCACTTCTCTCTCTCGTATCTTGTTCCAGTTCCCTTTCCTCTAGCTGTTGTTCCTCTTGACTTTGGGTTTCCAGTTCTTCTTTACTGTCCGATTCTTCCTCTATATATCATGTATAGAATTCCTGGGCATTTTTTTATTGTATCTATCTTTATTTTCTTATCCTGCCATATTATTAGCAGTCTTTCTGATATCAGCCAGCAAAACATTTTCTTTATTATTAATTGTGTGGTAAGGAATTGATAATCTCTTCATTTCTCTCTAATTCTCTTTGGTATCTGTTTGAGGGTTGTGACCTCTCTTCCTTTGTAAGTCAACTCCCCTTGAAGAGCACCCGGAGGCTCCAGCTGGTCCAGAACACAGCAGCGCGGGTAGTGACGGGAGCAGCATGGCACTCCCATGTAACACCGCTCCTGCGTGAGCTGCACTGGCTCCCGGTGGTCTTCTGGGTGCACTTCAAGATGTTGGTTATCACCTTTAAAGCGCTCCATGGCATAGGGCCTAGCTATCTTCGAGACCGCCTGCTGCCACGGACGACCTCCCATCGACCTGTGCGCTCCCACAGAGAGGGCCTCCTCAGGGTGCCATCAGCCAAACAGTGCAGGCTGGTGACCCCCAGGGGGAGGGCCTTCTCTGTGGGGGCACCTACCCTCTGGAATCAATTGCCTCCAGAGATAAGGAGAATCCAAGACCTCAGTGCCTTCCGCCGTGCCCTTAAAACCTTCCTTTTCCAGCAAGCCGGGCTGGCCTAATTTTTTAAGTGTTTTTAAGTGTTTTGTTTATCGTTTTTAATTAATGGGGCCAAATTTATATATACTTTTAATTGTATTTTAATATTTGTATTTGATGTTTTTACTTGGCTGTTCACCACCCTGAGTCCT